ACTCTAGCCCGGGCAACAGAGCGAGACTCTGTCTCAAAAAAAAACAAACAAACAAACAAAAAATAACCAAAAAAACTAGCCTGAGTTAAATACAACTCGCACGGCAGTCAATGTGTTAAAACTCAGAGTTCACTGCAAACGTAAAGCCACTGCTGTCTCTGACAGATACACAGTAAACCTTGTCCAAGACTCATGAGATCCGTTCACTCCTCTCTTCACCCTTTGATCGGCCCAGCCAGGGCAGGGGCCTCCCCACTCCAGGGTGGCTCTTCTACTCCCCAACATTAAGCCGCTTCCAGGGCAGGACCCGCTGTGTCACCCCAATCACGGTGGAGGCGGTCCCTTTTAACCACCGTTCTCTCTCCTACCAAGGGGCTTTTGTGCATGCTTAAGAGGAAGGGCTGACTGAGCCTTCTGTGGGCTGGACTCCCAGAAAAGGGGTGGGCACGCTGCAAGGCTCTGCGGAAACCAGCTGCAGCCCCGTGTTTGAGCAATCGCTTCTGATCAACCTCCAGGCTTGGACCTCAGCCCCTGGACTGTGCCAGGGGCGGGCCCGGTACCACCCAAGCCACAAACCCTGTGCGAAGTCCTACTGACTTCACCGAGCTGTGCCCCAGCCCCTGACCTCCCTCCAGAGTTACGCAGCTTGAAAGCTCCAGAACTCAAGGGTCAGAGCTCCCCTCCCGGACTCCGGTACTGCCCTGGCAGAATGCCAGGCATCATTCCGGAGCATGATGAGCAGCAGGTGACCCACACGCCTGCTACTGACCCTGCGAGTTTTCTCGTGATCACTGCTCCAGCCGCTCTGGGAGCTACGTGCTGTCCGGCTATCGGCCGTCGTAAGTGTGGGTGCTATCAGAGCCATCTGGTAAGCTCTGCACGTAATCAGGTTCATTCTTAGATCTCAGCTCCAGTATCACTTCCTCAGGGACCATTCCCTGACCTCCTAGGTTAGATCAAACCACCCACCATAAACTCGCGTAGACCTTTGCACTGTGCTATGATTTTATGCTTGTCTGTTTGATTACTTAATTAACATCCATTACCCCCCAATTAGACTGTAAACTTCAGAAGGGCAGGAACAATGTGAACTTTTGCTGATTGTTTTATCTCCATCATCATCTGACAAAGTGCCACGTACACTGGAGACTGGACAAGGTTTGTGGAGGTATGTGAACAAATGAATGAATGAATGAATGAATGAATGGTGTTGACATTCATCACCCGTCACGGTGAGCAGCCAGACAAACTTGGTTATCATCTAGACGCTGGGGCCAAGGATGGCAATTGTGAAGTTTCTCATGGGGGGTCTTTTCTCAGGATTAAAGGAGCAACTGATCCTTTCAGCAAACACACTGCTACACAAAATATTATCAAGTAAAGCTTCTCATATACATATTTATATATAAAGATTGCTTTT